GGGGGAGTCGGTCGGAAGGGTCGTAGTAGGACGCTGTGTTCTCAAAACAAAGAGGCTAGGGAGAAAGAGACGGAAAGGGCGGAAAAAAGAGTGGCAGGCCGATCAACGGCGTAAAGAACGTGGGATATTGACTTTGCGACAAAAAGAGTGTAATACTCGACAGACGTCAAGTCGTGAAAATTGGAGGCTAGGTCATACAAGAAAGAGAGCGCACGAGAGGAGAGAAGAGGAAAGAAGATGAAGAGGTTTAGATGAGCGAATGACTGTTGGCGGAAGAAGATTGGGTGGGAGATTGGCAGGCAACAACGCGCATAGCAGAATGCAATGAATCCAAGTGGAGCTCCCAGGCTTGGGGCAATGGGAGTGGGTAGGATACTTTTTTCCCCTCCCAGTCGGAATGTCTGCAAGTCACGGAGTAGTTACGGAGGAGACAAATCTGTAACGTCTGGGGAGGGACCACGCGTGGTGGCTGCCAGGTACAGAGCAGACGGAGCCAGCGCAAGTGACAGGGGAAAGTCAGGGGAGAACCGTGGGATGCAGGTTAGGAGGAAGTAAGGTAGGAGAGAGAGAAAAAAAGAAGAAAAGAGGAAAAGAGGGAAGAGAAGGAGGAAGCTGGTAAGATAATCAAGCAATCAATCAATCAATATTTAATGAGAAGAATTGAAGAATGGATAAATTAAAGAGACCGACAAGGAGATGGAGAGGGAGGGGGGGGGGGGGGGGGGGAGAGACGGAGAGAGTGAGATTGTGAGAGTGAGTGAGAGTGAGTGAGAGCGAGTGAGAGCGAGTGAGAGCGAGTGAGAGCGAGAGAGAGAAAGAGAGAGCCAGACCTGCAAGTACGGGTGGGAGAAGCGACTAAGCCTGAAAGAAGAGGGTGTGGGTGGTGGGTGAGTGGGTGAGTGCGGGCGGGAATTGCGTTGGTTGGTGAATCGGGGGGCTGAGTAGTAGTAGTGACACCCACTGCAGTCCACTCGGCAGTCTCCGCCTTATTCCTGCCGCGTTATCTTAGTACTAGATAGTCTAAGAGAAAGACTCCAGTTGATGGATGGATGGATGGATGGATGGATGGATGGAGTAGACGGAGACCATTCCGTGGACAAGAGAGCCATTCCCAGCATACACTGCATACACTGCATACAACTGCAGTATCATTGCACAACACCTGAACACCCGACTACATTTACAATAATCTGCAATCTGCAATCTGCCACCCCCCTGACACGGACCCAAAAATATCGAACCAAAGGATCGTGTCTCAGGTGCTCAAGTGCAGGTCTCGACCGTCGCTCGGTCCACGTTGCTTCCGTTGTCTTTCTTCGCCCGGAAATTAACACGGCTGGGCCTGGAGACTAAGCACCCACCGGTGTTTTGCCTCTCTACTCAAAAGGCATGGATCCTCTGGACCTCTCTATAAAATCAGTCGACTGACACTGCACTAGTGGAGTAGTTTGATGGGTTGATTGCTCCATCTGCCGAAAATCTGGTCAAGTTGAGTTGTCAGAGATGAGAGAGATCGGGGCCAGTCAGGGTCAGGTGACCTCGCTCCCCCCTCCCTCTCCCTCCCCTGACGGACGGGCCGTCGGCCGCTTTTGGTCTGGTTGCACCGCCTGGCCGACTCGTGTTCTCTCGCTGCAGGAGGCCGCCATGGTGCCGTGCCTACTGTGTACGCTATCGATGGGATGGTACTCCGTACAGTAAGTAACCTTCGAAGTGACTTGTCTATCATATGCTCTAGTACTAGTAGTTCAAATGTGTAATCTTCCATATGGACACTGATCACTACAGCTGACAAGATGCAACTACCTAGTACTGTGCACTCTCGAAATGACAATACATATATTGCTAGCTATAGTCGCACACTCTCGTGCTCCAAGTCCAAGATCATCGTAAGACGACAATTCATAAATTAGGAACGCAACCACTCCAACTGAAGGCTGGATCATCAGCCTGAAGTAAGCGAAAGGGCCCAAGCACGTGCATCGGATGGGTGTGATGTCTACCCTACCTCATCGACCGCACTTCAACAACCCTGACCCAATAATGATGACGATTGAAGCTTTCTGAGTCAAACAAGATGATCGCCAAAGAATACATCTTCCTCAATGGTCTCCTCGGCCCCAACATCGTCGTGCGCGAGAGTAAGACCCCAAGATACATACAATGCCCCTTCGAAAACCCACCAAGACCGGCAAGCCCGTCCGACAGGCTGTACTGAGCGGACGGGTCACTCGAGCACGCAAAGCTGCCATCACTAGCAGCTACAAGGAACCAACTCCACCAGAAGCTTCCCGTAGCGAGGATGCGATTTCGGGGGAGAGCGATCGCCAGAAGGACCTTCCGCCGGTTATGGGAAAGCCACCGGCTTGGGCAGAGGTTTGTCCCATGTAACCCTCATAGAACCTCATGATGAAAGTCCTCTAATGCGAGAGCAGTGCCGGCCTGACCTCTGTGATGCCCTCCCCTGGTTCCGTTCCGCCCAAGGAGGCTACTACTACAATGGCAGTCTGTGCTACGGCTGTCTGGTGGATGCGGACTCGGGAGTCCGGGCCTACATCGATGACGAAGTTGTCATAACTCGAATGCAAGTATCACCGAGGCCACAGCATGCTCAAATTACCTAGCGAGTGCACTCAGTCGACACAACTAACCTCGCAACTAGTGGCGGTGGGTGCACCAAAGACGCAGAGGGGAACCTTGTGCTGCTCAAAGATCAAGACACTGATAGCGCCATCTTAAGCAGCGTGATGAACAGCTGGAGGATGCAGAACCCGGTCGGACTCATCATTGGTACGTAGACGACCGGCTTGACGTGGACATCTCGTGTTAACCCCTTGACAGGAGATCGAAACAAGCAATTGAGCCGGAACCCCCCCCATCGATACAACGTGATGGCCTACTTCCGCATCACAGACGTCTGGCACGAGCGGATCGGCACGAAGAAAGGCGCCAAAGTGCGCTTCGAGAAGCTGGACCTCGCCGCGACAAGCTGGTGGGCGGCCCCGGGCACCACCCCATTGCCCGTGGAGCAACGGGACTTCACACTCGGCCCCGCCACGAAACGCTGCTCGAGCTGTGACCGCGACAGCAAGCAGGTCTACAACGAGGGCTGGATGTGCCTGACGCCGTCCTGCGCCCGGTTCTGGAAGGTCAACGGCGCCACGGCGCCGCCGGGGCACCTCAGCTTCAACGCGGCATTTCTCCGCGCCCGGCTGGCCCCCGACCCGCAGATCCAGCCTCACTTTGACCTGGTCCCGGACCTGCTGGCGACCCTAGCGGAGGACCAGGGCGACCTGGTCTTCAAACGCATCGCCTGGAAGGGGATCGTGTGTCCGCTGTGCTCCCGCTGCATCGCGCGGCGATTCTGGCGCGGATGGAAATGCGCCGACGAGCTCCTCCACAACCCGTCTCAGCAATCGCAGCGGTGCAGTTTCGAGCGATACCTCAAGGTGTCGCCGCTCTCGGTCCGGTCCGTGATTGACGAGTTCGAGATCCATCCCGCCAAGCGGGCGCTATACTTCGACCCGAAGCTGCAGCTCCCGAGCGTCGACGACTCATCCTTATATCCGTACCGAAAGTTAGTGTACACTCTGCCCGGTGTAGGGTCGGTGACGCATCTGGTGGCCAACCGAGCGATCAACACCCGCGCCAACGGGCCGGATGATCTGTTCAGACGGCTTCAGTCGGTGGATCTGGGACTCCAGCGGTATCCGCTTCAACAGAGTGTTGGTGGGTGCGCCCCCCACCCTCGCGGATTCAACGCCCGATCATCACGCTGACCTCTTGCACAGTCCGCGGCACTCTGACGTCTCACTACGCAGTGAACTATGTATGCCCTCCCCCTCCGTTCCTTCTACTATCTATTCCACTCCCAATCCGTCGATCTAACCCTCCACAGGGCTGCCCATACAAATACGTCGTCTCCGTCGCCAGCAAAGGCTTCAACGAAGCCAGCGACGAGGTCCTCCGGGCATTAGGCCGACTCACCTGGGCGACTCAGCAAGCGGTCACCAGCGCGGGAGACGCATTCCTGCCGCCCAACGAGCTCCTCCTGCTGGGATACATGGAGGACATGAAGATCGGAGTAAGCCGAATCCCTGACCCCATACCCCCTTCTCCGCTCCCCCACCCCACTTCTTGGGAACCCCAACGGAGTCATCCCCCCTAACCCAACTCAGTACCACGACGACGGCGAATCCTCCCTCGGCCCCACCATCGCGACCCTCTCCCTCGGCGCCCGCGCCACCATGCTCCTGCGCATGAAGTACAAATACTACCACGGGTACACCAAAGCCAAGCGGCTGGTAGACGAAGACCCCGCCCTGGACGGATGCGCCCACTGCCCCGAGCGGCAGGCGCTGAAGCAGACTCTCGACGCGGGCGAGATCACGCGGGAGGAATACGAGGCGCAGCGCCGGAGACTGCCCGCCCGAAATCGGAGGGGGGAGGCGCCGCCGTGCCTGAGGATGGAGCTCAACCATGGGGATCTGGTGGTGATGCATGGGGAGGGGTTGCAGCGGTTTTATGAGGTATGCTTTTTTTTCCCCGGAGGACACAGAGGGAAGGGCTCATGCCGATGTTTGACGATTACTACTGTAGCATTCGGTGGTCCCCGAGAAGAACCTGCGGTTCGCGCTGACGGCGCGGTATATCAAGCCCGAGTTCGTGGAGGAGGCGGACAGGCAGAAGGGGGTGTTTGCGCTTACGGGGGAGCAGGTTTATGATGGGAAGTGAGGTCCCAGAGGAAGAGGAGTGTGCAGTGCAGTGCAGTGCAGTGCAACGATGGGCGTGCTGGATACCACCCTCTATATAGCTTTGCTGGTTGCTACAATATATCCAATCACTGATCCCGCCAATTCTCCACCCCATAGTCCACCGGGACCGGATGGTAGAAACTGAACCGCTCGAACGGATCCCACTTCCGCTTCAACGCCGCCAACCTGACCAAACTCCTCTTCCCATACCACACCTCGGGCCCCTCGTCCCCATGCGCATAGTTATTGTAGAGCACCAGCTGCCCCCGCCCCTCCGGGTCAACAAACCCACTCGTCCGCGCAAACCACTCCCGACTCTCCACGACCCACGCATTGACCCGCTCCTCCGCCTGGTCATCCTCATCCACAAACGTCGCCTTGAAGAGCACATGCGTCTCGATGTCCCGAAACGCATACGCCATGTCCTCTCCCCCTTTGTCCCCCAGCCTCACCGCCTGCGTCGGAAACCGCGAGAAGACCACCGACGCCGCGATCCGACCATGATACTCCCTCGCAAAGCCGGCAAAGGCATCCGTGTACTCCACAAAAGTAGCGACATCGGTGCGCCTGAGCCCGGCGCCGCCGTAGATGAGCCGGAGGTCGTGCTCGCAGGGGGAGGGATCCTCGCTGAAGAACAGCTTGGAGTAGAGTTTGTTCCAGGGCAGGACCGGGGCGAAGCGGGCGCGGAGCGGGCCCAGCGCGCGGAAGCGCTGGAGGTAGGGCTCGGCGGCCTCGGGCGGGCCGTAGTAGATGAAGTTGACGAGGATGGTCGCCTATGCTTGTTTCAGCATGCACGCCCTTTCCCATCCTATACTAGCAGGCGGGTACGAGGTGAGAAAACATACCATATCCAACCCCGGATTCCACCCCAAAACCACCGTCAACGCCAACACATCCGGCAGATTGTCGTCCCCGTCAAACTCCCGCAACGTCTCCCACACACTCGCGTTCGCGCTCGCCGCAAACAACATATCGCCCTCCAGCACCTGGCCCGCGTTCGTGGCCTCGTACACCTGGTAGGTGGCCTCGACCACGACCCCGAAGTTCCAGCCGGCGCCGCGCACGCCCCAGAAGAGGTCGGCGTTCTCGGTCGCCGACGCCGTCACCACTTCCCCCGCCGCCGTGACGAGCGTCGCCGAGGTCAGCGCGTCGATCATCAGGCCCCGCCGGCCTTGGAGGGGGCCGATCCCCGCCCCCAGCGTGGCGCCGATCGTGCCCACGCATTGGGCGGCGCCGGTTTCTGGTTCCCCTCCCGCCGCATCGCGGTATTAGCTTGGCATTGGGAAGGTATGGAGGTGGATGGAAGGGGAAGGGAAGAAAATAACGTACGAATCTCCTTCCCAGCAGCATACAGCACATCCCACATCTCCTGGAACTTGGTGCCCCCGCCGACGGTGAGGCGGTCGCCGGCGGGATGGAGGCGTGCGTACCGGAACCCGCTGAGGTCGATGTTGATGCCCGCCTGCATGTGGGCCAAGGTGGCGGAGACGCCGTGGCCGGCGCCGGTGGCCAGGAAGGGGATGTCGTGGGCGTTGGCGGTTTTGATCTTGGCTTGGGATTAGCTCTGCTCGTGGGAATACTTGGAAAGATCCACTGGGGTACGGGGGGAAGAAGAGTACAATGTTCTGCACATCCGACACAGTCGCTGCCCGGATGGCTGCCCTATACGACGGGGCCTGGTACGCGGACCAGCGCTGCTGGATCCGGTCCGTCCAGTTCGGCCACGTCGGGTAGATGATCTGCGCGCCGGGCGAGAGGACGGGGCGAAAGAGGGATTCGAGGTCGGGGGGGTTGTGGGGTGCGCTGTCAGTAACATTCTGGGCGTGGGCCGCGAGGGCCAGCGCCAGCAATAGTATGAGGGCAGAAAGGCACGGCATATCGGTTTCGCATGCTTGAACGGTCAGATATGTCAGATTGGCGGGACAAAGTCGGAAATATAGCCTCGTGGGAGGGCATCTGTTGGGCCCAGCTAGTCTCTGCCGCTAATCGATGCTAAATATCTTGGCTGCATTAACCGTTCACGTCGCAAGCCCTAGCCCCGGGTCGGAGATGCTCGTGTCCGAACATGGTGAGATTGCATGTCTGTTCTGTGTTGCTGATAGCATATCTTATACTTGCGTAACCTAGGCGAGGAGACTTGCTGCTGTGGCGCAGAAATACTTATAACTAGTTAGTCTCCACGGTGCTGTCGATCAACCTTGAAGGTAGAACGGCGGCCGTGCGTAAGGCTTCCCGGGGCTATTCAGCCCCCCTTGAGGCGTCTACACCACCCTCAGTAAAGATCGTATCTCATCAATTAAATCTACCACTACCATGTATCAATACCGATGTGCATACATCCCACTCCCCTCAAAACTCCAACTCCTCCACCTCCATCCCACAATCCACACACGTCTTGACCCCGATCCCCGTCTCGGGATTCTCCACCGACCGACCCCATTGATGCACATGCCGCCCGCCATTTCCCAGATCGTCGCCGAACGCCCCGCCGGCCGCGCCCATCCGATTCCGCCGGTACGCATCCACGCGCGTCCGCTTCTTGAGGTCCTGCAGCTTCGTCTTGAACTTGGCCTCGCGGCGCCGCTTCTTCTCGCCCTCGCGCCGCTCGAACTCCGCATCCAGCGCCTCAGGCGACCCCCACTTCTTGTCGGAGAAGGCATACTCCTCGACCTGATACCGCAGGTAGAGCATCATGTTGTTCCACGTGGACTTGTGGGGGTTCGGCCGCTCCAGATGCGGCAGCAACTCTTCGTCGCGGAGCTCAGCTACCCACAAAGGTCAGCATAACCCATCCCTAACCCCCGCCTATATATCCCATACCCTCCCAGAACCGGGGAAAGGGAAAGGAAACACTCACGATCCGTCAAAAGATAATCCTCCTTCGCCTCCGTCTTGGTCAACAGACTGTACCGCTCCGGAAACCGCTCCTTACAGGCATGGCAGATTCGACACCGCAACTCCTCCTCCCACTTCCAATCGATCTCCAAGCTCCCGCACTCGCGACACGCCTTCTGCTTCTCCTTCTCCTCCAGCACACTCAACCCGGGCTCGAAGGGCCCCGCGCGCTCCCGCCGCAGCGCCTTCACCAGCAGCTGCCGTTCCCACTCCTTCTGCGTCATGCCGGCGGGCTTCTGCTCGGCCTTGGGGTCCTGCACGTTCAGCGCCTTGTTGTGGGGGTCGTCGTCCACCGATAAAAACCCGCCTTTCGTGTCCGTCATCTTGCTGAAGTCGTAGTCGACGAATTTCGTGAAGTTGCGCGCCGGGCGGATGGTGTCGAGGGGTCGGGTTGTAGAAGTGGTGGCATCGCGGACGGTGGAGGGGGTGGGTTGCGCGGTCATGGTGGTGTAGGTTCTTTTGACGCCTTTCGTTGCGGCGGCTGCTGCTTCGGCATCACGCTGTTCGCGGATGGCTTTGGCTTTCATGCGGTTGATTTCCTACCAGATTCCACAAATGTCAGGAAGGCTAGAGCGGGGATGTGGAGAAGAAGAAGGAGGACGTACGATCCGCCGCAACTGCTCCGGAGTGAGCGGGCCCCGGGGGAGCTCACCGGGCTTGGTGGTGCCCGTCTGAGGCGGAGGGGTCGAGGGACGGTCGGCTGCCATTTTCTCTGGCCCTTTTAAACTTGTTCGGATTGTAGGCTTTGGAGTGAGGAGGTGTGATGTAGATGTAGAAAGAGTAGGAGGCGTCGCAGTCGCGGTCGAGGCCGTCGCCACATCACGTGCCGATAAGCATTTTAATTGACGGGCGATAAGACTTCCCCCCTAGAAAATGACGTAGGACTACTTTTCCTCTGCCTCGGACTCGTCGCTGCCCATGTGAAGTCAACCCTAACTTCGATTTTCTGGAGTCGGGGGGAAACTCTACTGCCAGTTCATGGTTGGGCAGGCGAGCGGGGAGAAGAGTAGAAAGCTTGTTCTGAGCTGTCCAGATGTTATGGACTATGCTAATTCATGCAAGCTGGGTATCTCAGCTGATGATGAATCATGATCTCCGGTCCTCATGTCAACGACTACGAACTCATACGTTGGATCAAGGAAATGGAAGAGGTGAGCATCGACCCAGAAACAACCATGATCCTGAAACCAGGCATATTGCCTCCACAACAGGTTTAATGCCTAGCGACTCCAGATCAATTACCACAGACAACGGATCAAGTGAACCCCCCCCTCTCAGCCCTGACCAGCAACTCCTCCAGCCGCACAAACTCCATGCCAGCAAAGAACTCCTCCTTCTGCCGTAACGTCTTCTCCCGGGGGCAGCAAATCGCCCCTTTAATCGTACACTCCTCCAGCTCCGCCAGCGCGATATTCGGATCATCCGGGGGTGTCGGATGGTGCTCGACATCGTACTCGATCTGCTCGACGGACCGATACTCCCTCTTGAAGGGACGGCCTGCCATCTCCCGGTGATCAGCACACAGCCTCCAACTCCCTTAGACACAGAATATGATACAAGGCAGACATACCGTAATACTTCTCCAACAACCCCACCGCCTGATTAAACGTGCCCCATTCCCCAGCCACATAAGTCACCGGTTCCTACCACCCCAACAATTAGCATGCATACTAGGTACACCATCCCATCCCATCACCCCCTAACCCCACTCCCACAACCCTAGCCCTTCCCCACTCCAAACAAGGCAAGAAAAACATACCCACCGCTCCCGCCCCAACAACCGCACCACCGCCCTGGCCAAATCCCTCGACCACGTCCACGACTGCGCTTCCTCCCCCGACCCCTTCACATGGTACGTCCACGTCTGCGGATCGACCGGAAACTCGCCGGGGATGTACGCCATGTACGACTTGTGGTCCGGTAAGAAATAGTCCATGAACCAGCCGTGGTGGACCAGCGTCCACTCGACGTGGTGGCTGGCGGCCCGGGACCGCAGGATCTCGCGGAAGGGGGCGCGCGTGCCGCCGTAGGAGCGCGGCAGCAGCGGGAAGTCGTCGACGTTGCCGGCCCACTCGGACGGGATGAGGCGCTTGCAGGTCTGCGAGGCGATGCACGCGTCGAGGAGGTGGGTGTGCAGCGGGAGGTAGGCGTCGTTGGGGCAGCGGATAAGCGAGAGGAGGGTGGTGGCCTGCGTGGTGTTGAGGATGGGGAGGAGGGAGGTCGGGGTGTAGTCGGTTTGGTGGGTGGTGATTTTGGGGTGGTCGGTCCAGGGTGGGGGGTTCTTGTTCTGGTTCTTGTATCAGATAGTGATTGTGGATTCTTGTGAGGGGGGTGGGAATGGGAGATGTGGGGGAGGAGACTTGGAAGAGATAGGGTCTGTACCGATCGAGTTAAGATGGCAACGGCGTAGTCTGGGCTGCTGGTGATGGCTTCGGCGAGATACCGGCCGAATCCGCCGGTTCCGCCGGCGAGGACGATGACTTGGGGAGCCATGATGCAACAGGAATTTCTGGCTTCAATTGTGATGGTGAACGGCGGGATAAGATGCGTGAGGATGAGCTCAATGCTGCAGTGTGCATGTTGGTTGGGGCCGGTATTTATGTACTTTAATTTTCAAACACATGGGCGACAGTTGCTTTCGTCAGTGGATCGACCTCGGATCTAGCTGCGGTGTTACAGTCTCTGACTCAGAGATAATGCAGTCGACTTAACTTAGATGTCCTGTAGGTCGCGCTGAGTCAGAACGTTACTGTCGAGGATGTGAAGTCTCAGCAGTTGCTAGTGATACTCGTGTTCGGGGCACCCTGCGAGTGGGGTTGTCACTGATTTAGGGTAGACATCGAGTTGTGCAACTTGTTTAGCTCGCCGAGGAATTGGAATCCCGAGGCGATCAAGGTTGCATCGATGCGACATCAAGTCAGCCCAGAATGGATTGCCAATGCTGACACACGTTACATCTTCTCAAGATCATGGCTGGTGACCCAAGTATGGTCGAGGAGGCGTGGAAGGGATATCCCAACTTACCAGTCTATGAGATCGTCCGGACTGCCGAGTATAGACCCTGAGAACTGCCATATAATAGCTCCATCCGCTCGTGCCCGCCCAAGTGTCCACCTTGGCAAGACCATGTCCCAGCTGTAGGATTCATCACTGCCTGCACAACAATGACAGAATCACCAACCATGGAACCACCAAGCAGCAAGGGCGTACAATGCGTCCCCAAAGACACGCCCCTCCCCGAGATCCTCGCCCACATGAAGCGCGACGGCGGGGTGATCATCAAGAACCTGATCGCCGAAGAAGACATCGACCGCACCTACGAGGAAGTCAAAGAACGGCTCGCCCAAGACCCGGAGTGGGATGGGGTGTTCTTCCCAAGTGCGCCCCCTAATCCAACCCATCTCTCTGACAACCACTCACGCGCATCTAGAGGAAACGAAGCGCGCCAACTCCATGATCGCCATCAGCCCGACCTACACCAAGACCCAGCTCATGAACCCCATCTACCAAGCCATCTGCACCCACTTCCTGACGACCCGTCACTGGTTCTGGTGGGGCGAGCAGCGCAAGGAGTCCATCTCCAAGCCCTACGTCTCCACCTGCACGGCCATGGAGATCGGGCCCGGGGCCCAAGCCCAGCCGCTGCACCGGGACTCCTTCGTCAACCACACGTGGCTCCCCGAGATCGCGGAGTGGGAGGACGAGCGCGACCGCCACCGCGAGACGGAGATCGGGATGATGGTGGCCGGGTGCAGGGTGACCCGGGAGAACGGCGGGACGGCGTTCATCCCGGGGAGTCATCTGTGGTGCGTACCTAGCCAGCTCCTTACCATACCATCCACCCCCATCTACAAACTAAATAAATTCCCCATCAGGGCCACCGACCGCCCAACCCCGCCGCTTGTCCGCGACACCGTCTCCGTCGAGATGGACAAGGGCGACGCCTTCGTCCAATTCGCCTCCACCTACCACGGCGGCGGCTGCAACACCACCGCCGACCAGAAGCGCCTGTGCTATGCCACCTTCATGGTGCGCGGGTATCTGCGCCAGGAGGAGAACCAGTTTCTGGCCGTGCCGAGGGAAGTCGCCCGCCGGTACGACCGCCCCGTCCAGGAGATCATCGGGTACTCCCTGAGTGACCCGGCGTGTGGGCATGTGGAGCAGCTGGATCCGATCTATGTGCTGCGGCCGGAGTTGTTGGGGGAGGGGAGGCCGAGGGATTGGTGATTGCCCTGGTGTTTGGTGGGATTGGGGCTGTGGTTTGATTCGCAGGGGTAGGACTTGAGGTGTGTTGTAGTCTGTTGTGGTCTGTTGTTTGGGTATGCAAGAAAGTGATCAGGTTATCGGCTGAAGATTTGATTGCTGTGATGAGGTAGTGGTTATGTCTGGTTGGCTGGGGAGTATACTACGCTTGTCATTGTGAAATTGACGCTTCTGAGGTCTGGTAGAAGCAGCGTCCTCTCAGCTTGTCTCAGCATTAGCCTGGTAGCCTTGCGCGGAGAGCGCGAATCAGACCTAGAGGTTGTAACAGTGGCTGTGGTGGTGACTGCTGGGTAACGCTTGATATCTGCGTCATCCCGGTTCATGGAGGCATCCATTACTGTGTGTGGAGTACGGTCAAAACAAGAGTGTTCTTTCGATAAATGCGCTCACTGAGCACCAATGACCGAGTCTACTACAACGAGAGGCATTTACCCCTTCAATAAACTAGCAGATGTTCTCAGATCTGGTACACTATACGCAGATAACTACATAGTACATCTACCGAATACCGCCCAACACATCCCACATAGAAACCTCTACAAGCAAAGAAAAGCAAAGAAACACAGCTATCCCTGAACTTCATTTTCAGACAAACCATCCTACAAAGCACCCACGTCACACAAGGGCTGACTATCTCCAAAAGCAAAAGGAGACCTGCTGATGCAGGTTCCAGCCACCCGGCTCTACCACGCAGCCGGCACGAACCTCACCCCCATCGCCCTGTTTTCAGACTCATGCATCCGTATCCACCCGGCTGACCTGCAAAGCCACCCCAGATCTTGACTGCTCATCCGTGTACCAACCAGCAGAGCAGCTACCGGTGTTGCCGGTGCCACCATCCCCAAACCCAGCCCGAAGGGCGCTTCTCCATCCCAGCCCGAAGGCTCCAACACCCCTAGTCAAGTCCAGGAAAACTAATCCTAGACCCCGCGACCCCGCATCCAGCCCCTGCAAACCAACCCTTGGAACCATCCACTCAATGTTCCCCCAGAACAACAAAGGTCCCGATCGCCATCAGCAAACAGAAGATAGCTATCCCAAGGCAAAAAAGCAATCAGCGCATCCGGCCCAATTGAAACCGACCACAACCCAAGAATAGACAAAACGTACCCAGAACCAAGTTCATGTAGAAATAGCCCACCGCCTCAGTCAACGCCCCGGAGACCAAGGGGCCGACGAACATGCCCCCCTTCCAGGTGACATTGGACAAGGAGAAGGTGCGGGAGTAGCCGCCGTTCGAGCCGAAGATGCCAGGTTTCTCGTCGGCGAGCTCGTTCGCGCCGTCTGCACTCATCAGCATCCTCCTCACTCGCCATAGAGCAATCCCTTGGGGACTGTCGGAAGGGTAAATGACACTAGAACCGCGAGGAGGACGGGATCAACTCACTCAGAACCTCCACCCCGCCATACCCCAGAATCAACGTCCTCCACACCCCAATCGCCACCAGGCTCACCAGATACACCACGGCCCCGCTCGTCCCCAAGAACCCCTGGTGGCCTGGGAGACCCAGCAGCACCAGCGACGGCGCCAGCAGCCCGAACCCCAGGGAGACGGGGTACCGCAGCCCGACCCGATCCTTGAGCCCGCCGACGGGCACCACCAGGAGCAGCGTCGGCGCCTGCAGCAGCAGGAACAGGAGTCCGGCGTGGAAGCTGTCCCAGCGGAAGACCTCGCGGATGTGCAGCGGGATCGTGGCCTCGAAGCTCGCGATGACGACGGCCAGCAGCGTGTCGCCGAGCAGCCCGGCGGCCACGCGCTTCTTGCGCAGGATGAGCCAGTAGATGTTCGCCTTTTCAGGGGTGCTGCTTCCCGCCGGACTTGGGGGGTCGGTGTCGGCGGCGGCGGTGGTGGTGGTGGTGGTGGGGGTGGTGGTTGTGTGGTATGTGTAGGAGCGGGCTTCTGCGGCCGGGCTGGACGGGAGGAGCGGAGCGGTGGTGGCGTCGAGGGTCTGGGCCTCGCTGTCTTGCTCCTCGTCTCGCGTGCCCCGGTCGTTGGGAGCGGTGATGGTACTGGCGCGCGCTCCGTCCCCGCGCGGTTCGAGGACGAGCAATTGCAGGATTAGCCCGGTCAGCAGGACGAGGAACGCGCTCGACCACATGACACCGTAGGAGACGAACTTGTACAGGGCGGCCGACACGGCCGGACCGGTCAGCAAGCCCGCGGAGACCAGCAGGACCGCGACCCCGAACGCCTTGCTCAGGTGCCGCGCCCCGGCCGCGTTGGCGAGCATCGCCATGCCGACGATCCAGATCACCGAGCCCGCGACGGTCTGGATGAGGCGGCCGATGATGAGTCCGGTTACTGCGGGGGTCTTTGCATCAGCTCGGCTCTATGCCTTGGCGGTGAAAATGAAGGGAGCTACCTACGTGTCGTCGACCACGCCGTCACCGCCGTCCCGAACATATTCACCACCCACGCGGCGATCAGCAGCCAGTTCCGCGAGGACAGTTTGTCTGCCACGTAGCCCGTCACGGGCGCGAGGATGATCGAGACCAGGGCGTTCATGGAGAGGATGATGGAGGTCAGCGCCTGGATGCGTGCGGCGGGCTGCTGGAGGCGGCTCTCCAGGATCTCCGGCAGGATCGGGATGATGAAGGTGAAGAGGAAGTTATCTGTGGAATCCCCTGTTGTCAGTATTCCCTGGAAGAACCCGATTGTCCGCAAGGTTTTTGGAGAGTTGGACCAACCTGAAAACAAAGCCACTGATACTATCGCAATGATGTACAGTCCCGAGGATCGCCATCGATGGCCGAAAGGCTTGGACGGTCTCGCAGCGCCCCGTGCCATTGTGCGCAGTCGCCGACGATAGTGAGATAATTGCTCTCTCGACTCATCATTGGATGCTTTTCGGTATAAATGGAGGGTCAGATACAAAGAACGGCTGGAAGTTGCTTCCCATCCCCAATTCAGCAGGTAGTTCCATGGTTACTCAATGGCCGTAACATTGCATATGCTGTTGCATAAGTTCGCTCCGGTGTCTGCCGGGGAGCAGGAATCCGGGTGATACAGTCGAGTTGGGTATACGAGGCTCGCGCCACTCGCTCGGGTGTGCTGACTGGGCGGGATGCGAATGGGTTTAGTGATGAGTAGTGTTTTTTCTTTTTGCTCAGCTTGCGTGATGGGCTCTAGTTGGGTGGGACTGGCTGGTTGTTGCTTGGGAAAGTGTGGATAGTGGTCTACGACTGGCTCTCACTGGAGGACGGACTTTTCGGAGCATCGATGTAGGAGCCCGAGTCTGATATTCGGATGAATATGCTTGCTGCCTTGTGCTTAGGCACCTTAAGCACGTCCGAAGACGTCACTTCTCAAGCTTCATTGTCGTCACCAAGTACAATGTCGGATATGCATTCTATTAAACCCATGTCTATGCTATGAGCCGGAAAGGAAAACGGTGATGTAAATATATCCTCAGAACAAGATGCAGTGTTGCAAAGGCAGGTCAGACCCGCAGCGAGCGGTTAGTGTAGAATCCCGGGCCAGCAGTCTTTCTGTCACCTCTAACTTTTTTTCGACGATCATTAAGCATGTACTCCACATATCTAGGCAATCACAGCCTCCAAGGCCTGCTCGAAGATCTTCAGGCCCGTCTTGAGCTGCTCCTCGGTGATCGTCAACGAAGGCACGAACCGGATGCAGCCCTCACCGGCGGTGATGATCAGCATGCCACGCTCGCGAGCAGCCGCCACCAAGTCTCCAGCCTTGGCGCCGAACTCGGGGGTGAGTTGCACACCCAGGATCAGACCGCGACCGCGGACCTGTGAGATGACGTTCGGGTGCTTCTGCTTGAGGGCAGCAAAGCCGGCCTGCAGCACGGCCGACTTGTCCTCGACCTGCTTCTGCAGCTCGGGCGAAGCCAACCGCTTGACGATGTGGTGGGCGACGCGGCTGGCCAGGGGGTTACCACCGAAGGTGGTTCCGTGGTCGCCCGGCTTGATGTGCGACGCAACCGTCTTCTCGGCGATTATGGTGGCCCCGATGGGGAAGCCGTTGCCCAGCGCCTTCGCGGTGGTCAGGATGTCGGGGTGAGCGGCCTCGCCGGAGGCGGGCGCCAGCGAAGGGTGGCCGTGCGCCCAGAGGCTGCCCGTCCGGGACAGACCGCACTGGATCTCGTCGAAGATCAGGACGGCGCCCACCTCGTCGCAACGCTTGCGCAGAGCAACCAGGAACTCGGGGGTGGCAACGTTGACACCGCCCTCACCCTGGATGGGCTCGACGATCACACCGCAGGTCTTGTCGGTGATGAGAGTCTGGAGCTGCTCCACGTCGTTGTAGTTTCCGTACTTGAAGCCCGGCAGCATGGGCGAGAAGGGGGTCTGGTACTTGGGGTTGGGGGTCGCGGACAAGGCACCCATCGTGCGGCCGTGGAAGGAGTTGTGGAAGGAGACGAGCTCGTGCTTGGCGCCCGAGGGGTCGCGCGAGCGACCGACCTTGCGGGCGAACTTGATGGCAGCCTCGTTGGCCTCGGTACCGGAGTTGGCGATGAACACCTGGGAAGCGTCACGCATGGCACCGGACTCGCGGGTGACCTCAATCAAGAGTTTGCTCAGGGCTCCGGTCCAAGCATTGTAGTACAGGTTCGAGGCGTGGATGAGGATTTCAGACTAGAAAGGCCCTCACCGTTAGTATTTCGGGAGCCAGCATATGTGGAGACTCTGGGTGCACACCTGTTCGGCGATGATCTTTGCGATCTCAGGGTCACAGTGACCAAGAGAGTTGACAGCAATACCAGACGTCATATCAAGGTACTTTCTGTTCTCCATATCCCAGAGATAGCTGCCCTGACCCTTGACCATCACCGGAGGTGGCCGGACGTAGGTGGGGACCATGAACGGGGTTTGAGCATTGATGAAGGAGGAGGAAGCGGAGTCGGCGGTGGGATCGGGGTTGGGCAAGGAGCTTTCATCCTGGAGATTGAATTGATCACACGTCAGTATAGAGTACGATACTCAAGGAATTTCCAATCAGCACATCAGGAAATTCACCTTTGCTTGGGCAGCAGCTGTCGCGCTCAAGGATCGCACGGGCACTGCGGTGAACCGAGGCCGGAGCACGGAGTTGATTTCAGGAACCAGCTTCCTGGCAGCGGGCAGACGCCGCGAGGCAAGTTGTAGAAGAGCCATTGTATGAACAGACACTGGGGAATTGACAACGTGTCGACCTCTGGCAACCGGGGGAACTTTATACCTGGCGGAGGAACTAGGTACTAGGTAGGCAGGTAGGTAGGGAAGCGCGATTTAATGACTCGACGGGCACGCTCGCAGAAGAAGAAACACCGCACCGCAGCCCGACAACCTATCGGAGCCGAGAATCGGAGCGGCAGGCCACGCCGTGAGTCACCTGAGTTTGCCATGTTTGCACTTGCCAAGAGCCGCCCATTCAATGTTAAAGCTAACCCGACAGGGTAAGAACGCGGTGCGGGTCCTCGGACTGCACCGCAATCAATCTTTCAAGCCTGGCCCCGATGTCCGTGTTATCTTCCCACCTGCATGTAACATGATTGAACAGTCACCCCCCCCCCCAGTACGAAAGAGAAATCTGAGGCTATGGAAATGGATCTGGACATCCCTTAAGCAGTGGATTTCAAGATGCTTGAGGTCTTCAGGCATCTCCTGTATGATTGAGTCACAGAAGAGTATCACACGAAGTTGCTACAATACAGCCAAATTTCACTGAGTAGTACTGAGTATTTTGCATAACAGGCTACTCCACAATCGTGTCCACTCCGATTAAGCGATTGTACCACGTACCCACCTGCCTACCCATCAATCATGTCCTTGGCTCTCTGTGGAGGATGCACTGCAGCCGGGTCGTCCGACGAGCACCGCGACAGGTTCCCTGACTCTGTCGCATATTCCAGATAACGGTGAGCCACATCCGAAACACTGTCCACTGCCGTCATACTTGTTGCTTCGCTGGCTTGACTGGCAGTTCGGGTGTTGATCTGAGTTTCTGGCTTGGGTTTGGTGAAGGGGTCTTCTCCCGGTTGCTGCTGCTCCTCTGGATGGATGATTCCCATCTCAACATACCGGTCCATCTCGTCCGTGTCTTTCTGGGTTGACTGTCTCCTAATCTCCCGAACAAACGAACGGCCCTTTGTCCACCAACTGGGTTTCCTTTGGCCAACGCCCATGTCGTCTGCGATGGCACTATCGAGGTCACCGCGACGAGCGATTAGAGCCTGGTCGTCATTCAACTCACAGTGACCACAGATGTTGAACAGGATTATCAGGAGGAGCGGGGGTGTATAACCCAGTCCGTAGATCCAACCGCCGCTGACACCATATCTCAACGGTGACACCGTCCAGTCATACGCAGATGCAATCGCATATCCGACTTTGAACCCGAGTAACACGAGGGCCACGAGGAATTGGGAGGGTGCGGCATTGAGGTAGAACATAAGCTGGCCCCAGGTACTCGTGGGGCGGATGCGGTAGCGGTACAAACTGTGCTCCAGGCTATAGCAGATAACGAGAACGCCACCCATGGCTAGGAAGCTGGCGATGCGCCATCGGATGTCCGTCGCGGCAGGTTTCGCATCCGCCATCTGTTGCTCCAAGCTTCGTTGCCTTTCGATCGGCCCCCAGGAGCGCGGAACGGTCAGGAAGAAGTTCGCGAGGGCTAAGCCGTAGAAAATCATCGGCAGCACGAATTCTTGGCCTCGGCGGGTACTGGACTTGCTGAATGCGTAAGGGTCTCGATCGATGATCTGTCGCTCCTGCCAAGAGCCCCTGGGGGTTGTCGCGGGTCAGAAAAGGTCCGGGAGAGATGGATTCATAGACGAAGATCCTGCTTACCAGTGCCGAACAGCTTCCCACACGACTGCCATCATCACGGGGGTGAGAATGGTATAAAAGACACTCTGCAGAATCAAGGGACTGTTCACCACATAGTCCCGATCCACATCGATGCTCATGAAACAACTAATCGCTCCGCAGCCGGCCAGCACGAGCATCCAGATCCATTTGGCTCGGCGACCCAAAAGTCTCCACCGTCGATCATGCGGTAAGTATCGTCGCCCGTGTTTGCGCAAATTGATCAAGGTGAAGAAAATGGAGATGGAGAACATCAGGGCGAAGGCCAGGCCTGCTGCTGCATGGGAACCCATATCCCGGACGGGCGCATAGCACGAGACTCCCTTGATGACCGTCCCGTTCTCCGTCTGCATATGGGGCTTGAACTGGTTGAATGCAAGATAGCAATCCGTGCCATTGGAGAGCGTCCCGTTGCTGTAGAGCTTGTAGTGGTAAAGATCGAGGGCGGTGCGATTGAAATGAACCTCGTTGATGAGTACATCGGTGGAGTTGGCGCCGGCCTCGAAAGGCACGACAGTGCGAACGTACAGGAGCGTCATGGCGTGGTCGGTTCAAGATAGGATGGCCCCCAGGCGAGAAGGCGATCGGCTTGGAGACTTGCAAGTTCCCGAGCAGGGAGTGAGGCCGATGATCACCATCAGGATAATCCAACAATCGGATGGAACTGATGAGAGCAGATGGAAGAGCGAGCTACAGCTGTTCGGGACGCGACGGAGCCATGACGGCGGGACATCAACGACAAGGTCGCATCCAGGGACGAGTCGATGATGCGCCGAGGACCCAAGCAACCCAATCAGAGTCTGGACCCTGGCTTTTGGGTTCGGGTCATGATCCGTCGAGCGAGGATATGTAGTGCATCCATGGCCGAATTGGAGGGGTGATGAAGATTGCAAACTCAGTATACTTAGAGGAGGGAGAATCAATACTTGATGAAGGACAACGGGGTGGAGGCGAAGGCACTGGCCGCGACTGGAGGAAATGCGACCGGTCACCGGTCTCCACCACGGGAGCACTGGACATCAACCACTGCATACCCCATTCGGGTCTACATGGGGAATCAAAGAGCCCCACCATGAATACTCACATCTGCACCTCGAGATATCACACTCATAGATAGCATATCCAAGAATTAAGAATCAAATGCGAAGGAACGGAAGGCAAGCTAAGTAAGCCTCACGATAATCAGAAGGGCTACTACCAACGACAACCACCATAAAAACCACAAAAAGCTCACAACTGTCAGGAAGCAGCCCGCTTCGCATCGATTCTACTTTTTAAGGCATACTCCCCAACAGTGCTCACGAAAACCCCTCAGTCTAACTAAACAGTCCCCGGGATTTTCATACCAGTTCTTCATCCCGATGGGTGGAGGGCTACTCTGCCTTTTATCTGCTTGCGTCAAGCTAAGGTTCGCCCTCTCCACGGTTCGAACGCAGGCCGGCGGCACCACAACACGTCACCATCCCCGTTGCACCACTCGGCCTGCTGGTTACCGTGCCAAGACCGCTTTGGGGTCATAGCCCAACAACGACTAGCCGTTTTGACCAGAATATTCACGAGATATCGCCGAACCCCAGACTCGGGAGGCTTGGCATGGTTTGCCAAGAATTTGCCCATCCTCGGCGTCTTTCGCTTGTTGTATGCGTAAGTATACCGAGTAGTCGTCTATTGGGCGTAGTTGTCATCTTTGCTATCACCAAGTCGGTTCTATTCTATTCAGAGCGGGAGAGATGATCCAGTAGTCTATTGTATGGGAAGTAGCATGCTCGTGCCCAGTCAGTGTCTTCCATATTTACCCTCTAGCAAGTTCAGAATGGTACGCTACGGACATATCTTGTACTACTTGTACTACTACGGACGGAGGTAAGGTTTCAAAAAGATTCCTTAGCAATTGCCTGATGTTTTACAAGAGTGACTATAGAAGAGAATCGCTTAGAGTTACGGTCGCTGTGGTGGCAGAGCAGACCGATTTCTCACACACCCCGCCCGGTCGGATTGCGCAGTTGAGAGATCTTCCTGTTGCCTTGCCTTGCAGGCATCATAACCAACCAATCTTGAAAAAGATGTGACGGAAGAAGTTTGTCCGGCTGTGTGGAGTTAATTATACTAAAGATGTACTAAAGATTGAAGAAGCACTGTCGGGTTGGAACCATATTACCCCCAAGCCAGCCAGCAAGCTACAATGCATGCACGGTTGTTGGCATTGCGTTCCAGGCTGATTGCAAGCCCCACTCAAGCGGGCTGTCAGAGTGCTAGCCAAACCTGGGGATTGATTGCTTATGCAGTGCTGCAGGAATGCCTCCGCATGACGAAGCTTGTTGCTCACGTGGTGTCCGTGCGCCATGCCTTGCTGCAGACTTGGTCCAGGAAAAGGGGCCCTCATGGAAGGGAGTGCTTCGCTTTCATTCTCTCTCAAGCTCTTCTGCCGCTCGCATTGCATGGCATGATGTTTCTCACAAGGGTTCGGCTGGACGGAAACGGTGCAGAGTAAATGACAGGGACCAATGGGCAAGGACAAGATCGAGACGAGTTCATTCCACCAATTGGTAACTACATTGCATGAACGACCATTATGCCGTGACGAATACATCCAAGCGAGCTGCAAGCTGCCCTGCAAACCTCCTCATCTTGCACCGGATCACTCTAGCTGCAGAGCTGCCGAACGGCGAATCAAGCCACCAGCCCCTCACTCAATCTTATTACTTTGGGTGGTGGAATCGTCATCAGTCCGAGCCGTCTCCGACCTCCTCGTACTGCTAGAGCCAATCGCCAGCAATGCGCGTGCCGCAGGGGTATCTTCATCGCCATCCCAATCCTCCTCGAGACGAGCCCTGACCGCAACCCCGACGGCCAGCCATGATTTTCCCACCATTTGGCATGTATATCGTCAAATCACAGAGGCACAGACGAATCTCCTAGCCTGGCAGGGATCCTGTCCTCGCGCCGGCAAATCATGCTGAAACTGCCGGTTCATGGGGTTTAATCTAAACAATAATCCCACCACGGAAATTCACGCCGCGAGTTTAGGAACTACATCCGTCGCTCCCCAGTAGTATTTAAGGCCAACACCCAAGCCTTTGTCCAAGAAAAGCCAAGTCGACTAAGGACGGGCAATCGAAAGCTTGGTTTTTCTTGTTGTCACTCACGTTGGCTCTTGCGACCATGCTCGTCAACTCGGCCGTTCTCCTTTCGCTGGCCCTCGGGGCCATCACCGTCAGCGCCAACCCGGCCCCTGAGCCCCCTGCGATCACCGCAGCGCCCAAGGTGGGCGATTTGGAGAAACGGGCGACCACCTGCACGTTCTCAGGCTCCAACGGCGCCTCCTCGGCGAGCAAGTCGAAGACCTCCTGCTCGACAATCATCCTCTCCAGCGTGGCCGTCCCATCCGGCACGACCCTGGACCTGACTGACCTGAACGAGGGAACCCACGTACGTATTCCGCTCCCTTTCCACCCTTCCTCCGTACCCTAAATGGATGTCACGCCAGGTCATCTTCGAAGGCGAAACCACCTTCGGCTACGAAGAATGGGCCGGCCCGCTGGTCTCCGTCTCCGGCACGGACATCACCGTGACCGGGGCCAGCGGGGCGTACCTCAACGGCGACGGCAGCCGCTGGTGGGACGACGAGGGCTCGAACGGGGGCAAGACCAAGCCCAAGTTCTTCTATGCGCACGATCTGACCGACTCGGTCATCAGCGGCATCTACATCCAGAACTCCCCGGTGCAGGTGTTCAGCGTCGACAACTCCAACTACCTGACCCTGGAGGACATCACCATCGACAACACGGACGGTGACGATGACGGCGCCGCGAACACGGACGGGTTCGATATCGGCGACAGCACCTACATCACCATCACCGGCGCGAACGTGTACAACCAGGATGACTGCGTCGCGATCAACTCGGGCGAGGTACGTCCGAACGACCCCCAACCTCCCGCTTCTTTTCCAAGACAAGATCGAACAGCAAGCTAACCCACACGCTACAGAACATCTATTTCTCCGGCGGCGTCTGCTCCGGCGGCCACGGCTTGTCCATCGGCTCCGTCGGCGGCCGCAGCGACAACACCGTCAAGAACGTGACCTTCTACAACTCGGAGATCAAGAACTCGCAAAACGGTAGGCCTCTCCCTGCCCAAAAGACAAAAGACAAAAAAAAAAAAAAAAAGTCAAGCTCCGCGTAAGCTAACAGCCCCAGGCGTCCGCATCAAAACCATCTACGGCGACACCGGCTCCGTCTCCGAGGTGACCTACCAGGAGATCACGCTCTCCGAGATCACCGAGTACGGGATCATCGTGGAGCAGAACTACGACGACACCTCGGAGGCGGCCACCACCGGCGTCCCGATCACGGATTTCGTCCTCGATGGCGTGCAGGGCACCGTCGAGAGCACGGGCACTGATATTTATATTGTGTGCGGCTCGGGCAGTTGCTCCGACTGGACGTGGACGGATGTGAGTGTCTCCGGTGGGAAGACGAGTTCGTCGTGCACGAATGTGCCGAGCGGGATTAGTTGTTAGTTTTTGAGGGGGTGGAGAGGGTTGGCGCGTGTGGTGGTTGGGGTGGATGGGATGGTGTATGTACTGTAGCAGAGAGATATTTTTCGGGGGGGGGGTGGTGGTTGAATTTCAGGTCGTGCGTTGAGGATTCTGCCTTCGTTGCGTATTGGAGAGTCTTCGTGGGAAAATATTGATGGGTGGCAATTGACTCACTAGTAGATGATAAGGAGACAGCATCGATCGGTGCGTAGAAGACTTTGGTCTGGGAGGGAAGGTGGTTTGCGAATCCACGATTTGACAACGACCCTTTCTCTGGTGAGCTGCGAGGATTGAGTTAGTCATGGGACTCCTTCGCTTTACGCATATTCTGCAAACCGCTAGGACCGGGGTCTCGGCCAAAACCATTCCAGCACATCTACACACATTGCGCTTACTCTTCGAGCCGCGACGGCGCTACTCTTCCAGCCGAGCATACATCATTATCATCATCATATTTCACGGTCCTGTCAAACTTTTATCTAAGCCCAACCCCCGACCCCAATCTACTGCAACCGCTGAATGACCTTGATCAGATCCGCCGACACGCCCATGGCAGTGACATCGCCACCGGCACCAGCACCCTGCACGATCAAGGGGTTGGCGCCGTACCGCTTGGTGTAGAAGCTGATGATGTTGTCGCTGCCCTTGAGGCCGGCGATGGCGCTGTCCTTGTCGAACTTCTCCAGGCCGACGCGGACCTTCTTGGCGCCGACATCGACACTCCCGACGAAGCGCACGACCTTGCCCTCCTTCTCGGCCCCCTCCTTGATGGCGGTCATCTGGCCATCGAACTCGGGCAACCGCCTCATGAACTCGGCAATGCCCTCCGCCGTCGACGGCACATCGGCCAGCTCCTTGGGGATGAGCGACTCGATAGGGAAGGAGTCGGGGCTCTGGACCTCCAGGCCGGCAATGCGGGCGAGGATGGTCAGCTTGCGCGCGACGTCCATGCCGTTCAGATCATCGCGGGGATCGGGCTCGGTGTAGCCGAGCTCCTTGGCCTGCGCGACGACCTCGCTCCACTTGGCGGAGCTGGCCGCCCCGACGGGCGCGAACGTGTTGAAGAGGAAGGACAGCGTGCCGGAGAAGACACCCTCGATGCGGGTGACCTCGTCGCCGGTGGCGACCAGGTCGCGCAGCGTCGAGATCACGGGCAGGCCCGCGCCGACGGTGCTCTCGTGGTAGACGAGGGCGTTGCCCTCCGCCGCGGCGGCGAAGATCTCCTTCCACAGGCTCAGGTCCGACGAGAAGCCCTTCTTGTTCGGGGTCACGATTGAGATCCCCCGGCGCAGGAAGGTCGGGTACGCCGACGCCAGCGCCGGGTCGCTCGTGTTGTCGACAAGAATCGACCGGCCCGGCGCCGAGGACAGGTACGCCGCGATCTCATCGGGAGTCAGCGCCCCGGACTTGGTCAGCTGCGCCTCCGCCGAGGCGGTCTTCCAGTCCGCCGCGGGGATGGCCGGCGTGTAGGAGGGCGTCGGCGAGAGGAGCGTCTGCGTCGACCGCGCGAGGAGGATCAGTTGCGGGGCGTTGGGCAGGCGCGCCAGCTGGCTGAGAAAGGAGGTTCCCACGCCTCCGACGCCTGGTTGTAGATGGGCTGGTCAGTATGGGTGGGCACTTTGCTTGTGGTGAGGGGGAGGGGTGGCCGTGTTGGTGGGGGAGCAGCAGGGAACACAACGTGCAATTGTCGTTGTGAAAACACTTGTGATTTGCTTTCCAGGCTACTTACCAATAACACCGAGATAGATAGGAGCAGGCATGATGAGATGGTCAATTGGTCTGTTTCTGGTTGATACCTTATCCTGAAGCAGCAGGAAGAGGGGAAGAGGAGAAGACCGAAGCAGCTCAGCTTCAAAAGCCGCTGCGGGGCAGCGCTGACTCATCGTCCTATATCGGCGCACGCCATGTGGCGTGGCAGTTTGAGTGGTGCAGGTACATTCAGCAGTAACAGTACGTACATGATGTCTTATATTTATGAGAAAGCCTGTGTATCAATACTATGCGCGACCTTCACTCTTAGAATCACTTCGTATACTTTTATTCTGGATAGAATTTGGAGGTATGGTGTACACTTGTACCGTCGGAGTCATTGTCCTCATCAGAACAACATATTTCGAGCGCTCTTGGCATGTCTCGCGCGGCTAACCGGCATTGAGTGGTTACGCATTAAACAACAAAGCCCTTGAGAGCAAGAAGCCCCAGCCTAAGTATCTTGTGCCCCAGGATCTCTTTGTGGTCGATTCTATTCTGAGCGCATCTTGTTCGACGGCTTGGGGTGCCATTGTTATGACACAAACAACAAAGACACACATGATATACCATCGAACCAACGAGCAGGTTTATCTTTGATCATATAACACCTGGAGAAAGCATTCTGTATATGCAATCCTTAAGTATTGCATTGTAAGATCATACCTTACAATGTCTACAGCCACAAAGCAATGTGTGAAACTAGCGTTAAAGGACTCGAGCTGTACTTATCCTTCATAGTTGCCCGCAGTGACTACTAAGACCTCTCGCAAAGCATTCACTGTGAACACCACTATCTGCATCTTTTACTTCCCATAGAGAAATTATACTTCGTGCAGAGATCCTATACTAAAGATATTATACTCAAGCATGACCCAGGCAACCTGCAAGACGAAGCAAAGTGCAGCAGAAACCCCACCCACGAAGGTAAGCCCACGTCGCGCACTGCTCTACGCACAGAAACTCAACGATCCCTCGATAACTCCCTCACCATCATTCCTAACCATCACCTAGAAACGACGAACCTCCCCACGGCAAGAATATACAGTCCCCCCACTGGAAGTACCCCCGAGCAGCATCCCCTTCGTGACCCGACCCTGGTGCGCCATCAACGGCGGCAAAGGCACCCCCCTCCCTCGACAACCCCGAAAAGAAAACCAGAGTCTGCTGTGGACCGTCCCATTCGGCTACCGCCCGGATGACGGGGCCTTTACCGTGACCGATGAGCTGCTCCAGACACATTTGACGAGACTGTACGCCCAGATCCAGCGGTTCCGGGAACAGTACTCGTGCAGCCCGGAGGAGATCACGCAGTTAGCGCCCATGAAGAAGAAAGCGATTCTCCAGCATCTGGGATCCTTCTGTCGGTGTAGGGACTGGCCCTCTATCAACAAGATGCTCAGCGCTAGGTCCTACGAGCGGTTTCTGCACAAGTTGCTGGAGACGGTGCTGGTGAAGCAGTGCTTTGAGAAGGTCATCTCGAATCCGTTCTTCTATGTGGCGCCGTCGGTGGCGGTCGACAACGCTGGATGTTCGTCCTGGTCGTTTGGCGCGGAGATTAGGGGGTTGTATGAGATGCTTTTGAGGGGTGAATTTGTGCAGTGGTTTGTTTTGTGGTCCAAGAAGACGTATATCGGGGACTTAGGCTGACTAACGGTTGGTGATGGTGGCAGTGAATCGAGCCAAGGCACACGAATGGCGGCAGATGCTGACGCACCTCCTGCAGGCGGATTATCATGGAGGATCGGACGATTGGCGGGTGGCGTTCGCGGCTGGCGAGAGCTTAGAGGCGGCCTGTCAGAGCTTTGCCCTGAGCATGCTGGAGGAGTGTGAGGCGTTCCGCGTGCTTCTGCGGGACCTTGGGGATAGCGAAGGCAGCGACGAGCGGTGTTGTGATTTGGTGGGGATCTTTCGAGTTGCGGCGGAGCTGTCGGTGGGGTTTGCGGCAAGTAAGGACGGGTTCGTGTTCCATCCGGATGTTGAGCGTGTTTCGCATACAGTGGCGCTGATGCGTGAGAGGGTCCTGACCAAAGGTGGGGCTTGGAGGGGAGTTGACGCCTTCAAAGGCCGGCGTCCGGTTCTCGTTCGGCATCCGCTCATCGAACGTTCAGTCTTGGTTGGGGAAGCTCAGGTGAGCGACCGGGGGAGGTGTAGAGAGGAATGGTGGAAGGCGAACGATTACAGCTTTGATTCAGAGGAGGAACTCGATCGAAGACTTGATTGGCATATGCCGATGTTCGGCGTGGGTGACTCGCACCTTACCCCGGTCTATCATGGCGATTACCATTTCGTGAAAGAATAGGGGCTGGACGAGCTTTTGATATGATTAGCCTACAGATTACATCCTGCTCAGCTAGAGCTCCGTGCAGCCTTCTTCAGCGACGTCTTCGATAACCGTCAAGTGGCTTGTGTGTATAGTAGTCTATGAAATGTAATCCATCTGAGCGAAACTCATAGTACGAACAGTGGATCTCGTGTCGTACGACAGCTGTTCGGTTTCCTCGTCAGAGAAAAGGACTGTAGGATTTAGTGCCTTCGCGAAATCCCGAACGCCAACAGGTCGTATTAGTTGGAATGGAGCCAAGCCTGCAACTCGAGTCCCATACACAATGTCGGAGAGGTCTAATTCAATTGCCCTATCGAATGACGGAACGTGCTTTTTGAAGCATTGTCCCTATATCGATTGTGTGGCAACAGATTTCATTGTCGAAGACGAACTGTCGAAGCTGGGGTTGCGCCAGAGGCGCGGTTTGGTGTGACCTCGAGTGAACAGAGATATCAAGTTCTGCGACTCCTCATCACCTCATATCCATATCCTCATTCTCCTGTCCATTACCACTGCTATCCCCGCCTCGGGCACCTGCATCCTTCCCTCCCAACGTCGCCGCCCCGGGCTGTGCTTGTTGCTGCTGCTCACCAGCCGCAGCCGAAGCCGAAGGGAAACTCAAATACTTCCAATCCTCGATCTCCTCGATGATACACTTGAGCCGATCCCGGATACTCTCCACCGCATACGTCCCCAAGATCAGCCTCAAGGGCGGGTACGAGCAATGCCCAAGCTGCCAGACCAGATGCGCCGCCTTGACCGCACTCGCCGGCTGCTTGTCGCCCAGCCACATGAGCATCCTCTTGGCATGCGCCGCCGGCGAGGTGGAGACATTATACGGCTCGCTGGGCGGCTTGACCAGGAAATGCCCATACAGCGGCAGCGGGGACGCCAGATTATGCTCATTGGTACCCATCCCACCGCTGCCACCAAACAAACCCCGATGCATGTGATCCGAAACCAAGTCCCCGGTGTCATCCCGGCGCATATGGCCCGGCTCGACCAGCGTGGTCTTGATATTGAAATGGTCTACCTCGTACAGCATGCTCTCCATCAGCCCCTCGACGGCGTACTTGGAGGCGCAGTAGGGCCCCAGGCCGGGGACGCCCAGCGCGCCCGAGGTCGAGCTGAAGATGAGGTAGCGGCCGGCCCGCCGCTCGCGGAAGTGCGGCAGCGAGAGCTGGATGATGTTCAGGGTGCCGGTGAAGTTGGTCTCGAACTGGTCCCGGATGTCGTACTCGTCCTGGTCCTCGCAGGCGCCGATCACCCCGTACCCGGCGCAGTTGGCGATGATGTCGATGCGGCCGAAGCGCGCAATCGTCCGCTGGATGACCTGCTTCACCGTCTCGCGGGCGCGCACGTCGCACAGCAGGCCCAGGCAGTTCTCGTGCTCGGCCTCGAGGTCGCGCATCGCCTCGGGGCTGTTCTCGAAGGTCCGGCCCACGGCGGCGACCAGATCATCACGGCTCAGGGCCGTCTTCACGAGGGAGCGGCCCATGTGGCCCGTCGCGCCGAAGATGAGCCATACGAGCGGTCGCGGCGGGTTCTGCGGACCGGGCGGGTCGGTGGTCGAGGGGAGTTGGAGCTTCGGCTCGCGGGTTCCTGGGGTGGTGGCGGCGGAGGGGGAGATGGGGTTGGTAGACGATTTCGGAGGAGAGGCGTAGAGATCCATCGAGGAGGCAGGAGGAGGTTGTCGCACTCCGCGTGTTGACAGGGACGAGCGCCGTCATTCGGTCGCATTTTCCCCAGACGCATTCCCCGCAGCTGTCCGACCGGGCACGTGACACCTTTTGCTTATCGGTCACTGATAAAGAAAGTCCCTTGACAGTACTGCTTAATTATATGATACAACATAATTAGCAGGATGTTTGACACACTTTGAGGAGCATTGTTTACATCCCAATCAACTATAAAACGATGCAACAGGGTGATACGAGACTAGGTGTTATACTATTCTGTGAAAAGTGGGATGATGAATAGGACAAACAGCTGTTATATGCCATAGAAACCTTAAGTCTCATCAAAGGCAGTTATGGAAGCCAGACTGCATTCGAGTATTTTGTTGAATACGGTCCTAATCCACTAAGGGGGATTAGTGCTTCGCAGTACCCATGAGTCATGATCACTACCATAATTACCTTTCTGGCACGCACTTATTCAGCCCCCTGTAGCCCTCCTTGATGCCTAATATCAAGCACATTTGTAGAATATAGACTCCAGTAGGTTTTACGTAGATTCTGTGACTGAGAGTCAAGTTGACACTACGTCACGGCCCGCGGCCCACACTGCCTTTGGGCCGCCACGGGCCATGGCCGCCAGCGCATGCATGACTAACTAGCTTGGCCAGTATCTCGTGTATAAGAACGAGTGCGTCTCTGTCTTCTCGGGCATTTTTCTTTCTACACTGACATCGTCCTTCTGGAAAGGCTGTGGTCTCTCGTTCGGTACCGAGGTTAGTACCTGTGTATAAGGAAGTGGATACTGAGACTAGCACGACGCTACGAGGTTCGGAACGGGCATCAATACTGTACATACACCAACAGTACATCGCGCAATATGACATTAGTTTCTCAAACAACTCTGATTCCATGGCTAGAGAAAGCTAAAGGGAACAATGGTCCGCGGAAGGTGCTGAAGGCTCGCAGCAGGAAGCAATCGCGAGCCCTGGGTAAGGGAACCCGGGAGAAGTGGAAATGGAAGGTGAACGCGAAGGTGAACGCGAAGGTGAACGCGAAGGTGAACGCGAAGGTGATCGCGAAGGTAAACGCGAAGGTGAACGCAAAGGTGAACGCGAAGATGAACGCGAAGATGAACGCAAAGGTGAACGCGAAGGTGAATGCAAAGGTGAACGCGGTGGGCAAGCGAGAGGGGGAGAAAGAAGCGGAGAAAAAGGCGGAGAGAGAGGAGATGAGAGAGGAGATGAGTACCGAAACAGTCAATGTGGAAGAAGACGAGGGTCGGCATAGATGGGCTGATAGTCAGGAAAGTTTTGTGCACGATGATTCTCACTGCGGCTACAGTAAAAACCAAGCGGATCCCTCCAGGTATTCCCCGGGAGTTGAGGACGGACGGTTTGAGGGTTAATTTGGGTTTTGAAGGTATCGAGTCAATAGGCTTGATAACTACTCCATTGTCAGTGATGCTCGCTTTGCACTGAGTAGTAAGCGAGGGGTTCTTTGAACGCGTTCAATTGTTGTTCGACGCGTTGGGGGAAGTGTCTGTCGATCGCGAAGCGCACTTTATTGGTTGAGGTGTCACAAATCATGGATCCTCAATCATGGATGCTTGCTGACCTTGCTGATGGTGGTTTAAGTTGATTTGGAATCGTGATGTTTCTGTTTGACACTTTGTTTTTTTTATGCTTTGACTTATCGGGATCCTTACGTGTTTTTTGTTTGCATGCTTTTGATTTGTATACAGATTGGCAATAGGAATAGGACTCGCTTCGTATTTGTCCACGGGCCACATATCCCAGACTATTACTCCGAGAGGCACTTATATCATATACAGTGAAGAGGACTTGAGCTCTAACGAGTGGTCTAGCCAGTACAAGCTGAAGACAGACCGCCCAACTCTTACCGAGGACAGTACATAAGAGCATCAATCACTATCGCCGCGCTCTCGGCTAGACCCGCTCGGAGACGGCCGACGTGGGGACCACCACCGCGCGGCCGCACGAGTATATCAGCATCTGATCTGGATCGGAACGCCGTCTTCTATTTATCTGTATCAGAAAAAGAAACCAACCCAACCCCCTCTACACCCACCTTACCCCAACCGTTTCCCTCCACACACACCCACCATGTCCAGCTCCCTCCCCCCACTCGCAACCCTGACGTCAGAGCCCCAAGACCGCCAATTCCAAGTGCTGGACACCCTCTTCGAGCCGTCGCCCGAACTACACACCCTCATGGCGCCCGTCCTCGCCCACCAAACCTTCGACAGCTACGCGAGGCTGATCGACGCCGTCGGCGGCCGCATGTCAGCCCTGTCCGCGGCCGACTCCTCCAAGGACCGCGAGATCCTGTACGGGATCCTGGGCTCGCATCCCCGGCTGGGACGGCCCAAGGCCGGCCCGACGGAGCATCTGAGCGAGCTCAGCAGGAAGGAGCAAGCGCAGCTGAACACGGGGGCGGACGAGCAGGCGGAGCGACTGCGGGTCTTGAATGCCGAGTACGAGGAGAAGTTCCCGGGGTTGCGGTTTGTGTACGTTTATTTTCTTTTTCTGATGGGGTTGGGTTTTCTGGGGCTGAGGGGGGCTAATCGATGGTTTTAGGACCTTTGTTAATGGGAGGGATAGGGATGTGATTATGGAGGAGATGCGGGAGAGGATTGAGAGGGGGGATGCGGAGATGGAGGTTGAGGAGACTATTCAGGTATGTTGGCGGGGCTAATCTTGTGGTGGAGGGATGCTAATTGCATGCTTTAGGCTATGTGTGATATTGCGAAAGATCGGGCGCGGAAGTTGGAGTAGGGTTGATTTATATTGTTGAATATTGTTGAAATGCAACTCAGTATCGGGCCACCGATCATTTCTCAATTTGAGATACGCCTATGGCTTTTGCACTAGGATAATGCGACGACGTGACTAAGAATGTATTGGGTCGTTCAACGACTTACAACAGCAATGGGGATGACAAGCTCTCTTCAGATCTATATACACGCTGGTTCCCAGGTCCCACCAGAAATGTGGACAACCTAGTCCGTCATTCTTAACTGTGGCATCTTATTTTCCGAATGCCTCCTTCTGCTCCGGCACCAAGGTGATCATCTCACCCTTCTCAACCGCCGACCGCAGGTTATTCAACACCAAAAGCTCCATCTCCCGCTGCGTCTCGTACGTCATGGTACCGATGTGCGGCAGCAGCATCACCTTAGGGTTGCTGACCAAGCCCGGCTCAATCTCAGGCTCGTTCTCGTAGACATCCAGACCGGCAGACAGAACCTGTGATCATCAACATGCAATCCAACCTTCCTTTTCGAGGTGGTATCTTACCTTGCCAGATTCGAGCGCAGCAACCAAGGCCTTCTCGTCAATCAACGCTCCACGGGCCGTGTTCACGATCACAATCCCGTCCTTCATCTTCTGGAACTCCTTCTCCCCGATAATGTGACGGGTCGACGCATTGAGCGCCAGGTTCAGACTCAAAACATCGGAGGTGGCCAGCAACTCATCGAAGGAGACATACGTCGCGTCTCCCTCGAGCTCCGGAGACAGCCGTGACCGGTTGTGGTACTGGATCTTCATGCCAAAGGCTCTTGCACGGTGGGCCATTTCCTATCCTCCCAGGTCAGCAACCCCAACTCGTCTCGTCTTCCCGGTAATGGACAGCAACTCACGCGACCGATGCCTCCCATGCCCAGAATCCCCAGAACCTTACCCTGGGGGTCACGGCCAAGCCCCGTTTGTCCTAGGAATTTACCTACTCGAATTAATATCTGCATCAACCCTCACACCCCTCGAGTGCAGAATGACCTACCCTCGCGCAGCGAAGAAATGGGAATATAAGCCTGGCGCAGCGCGCCGATCATCAAGAAGATCCCCACATCCGCTGTGGCGTTGTTGACCGCGACGGGGGTGCTCGAGACGGCGATTCCTAAGCCCCGGTCTTTAGCAATTGATGCCTACCAGCAAGCATGGGAAAATACCTTTCTCTGTGCATCCCTTGACATCGACGTTATCGTAGCCTGCCCCGTTGTGGCAGATGTATTTGAGGGACTTGGGAAGGACGGAGAGCAGCTCTGCGTTGAAGGGGCCGGTGAACTACCCAAGCATTAAACGTTGGTATGTTTCATGGAAAGATCAGGGGGGGGGGGGAAGATCGTACCTTTGTGGAGGTATTCGAGCGGTAAATCGCGACCACGTCGTCGTATTGGCCCTCCTTGCAATTGCGGATGAAGTCGTCGCGGGTGCCCTCCGGGAATTCCTAGATCGAACGCATTAAATCCGTGGTCGCCTTGGTGGTTGCATGCGCTCGCTCATTCTCCTCACCTTGAGGGTAAGAATGGAGGACAAATCTTCCCATTCCTTGCGGGAATGGGTGATTGCACCGATCAACAATGCGGCGGGCATGATGTCAGAGTTGGAGGGGTGAAAGAGGGGTGTGCGCGGGGTAATTCAATCTTGGTGGGAGAAATTGCGAGATGCGATTGAGGATGAAGAGAAGAGAAGAAGGAAGGAAGGAAGGAGAGGAGGAGAAATGCAAGATTAGAAAGTCAACTTAACTACTACTGAACTTAAGAGCCACATGTGATTATTCATTATCTATCTCGCAATGACCCCATCGCAGCTTTGCCTATTTCCTTCCTATTCAATCAAGTTCCAGCGACTGGCTGTTTTGATTGTGTCTTGCTCCAGCGATCGCGTGGGGGTTGTGTTGCGTATTACCTGCGGGTTACAGCACTGGGACAGAACTGTATTATACTGGGGTCAAAGGCGGTCCTTTGTCCGACAATCCGACAAGATACTTCAAATGGCTTTCGCACTTGAAGGGCTGAGTGAATATAGCTGTAGCTAGGATTTGATGTGCTTGTCTAGCTATCTTTTATCTGTCCCATCTGTTCATGCTAGACTGTCGTGTATTTTGCCAGTGTGTCAAGAAGATACTGATACTGTACTGTACTATACTATACATCCTCTATGTGCGGATAATACGTCGGCTATTGAAGTAACGGGATCAAAACCCGACGCGGAGAAAAGTCCGGGCTGACCCCACGCCGGGTACCGCTTCAATTCCCAATCCCCTCATCCCTCCACCTGAGTCAAATTAAAACATGAGTGCTCCTCCCCTCCTCCCATTCCAGTCTAGAGACACTATCACGTTCCCCAAACAAGTCTCTGACTGAGCTCACCATGGCTACCCCTACAACCACCACCGCGCTCGTCCTCCACGGCGCCAAAGACCTTCGTCTAGTAAGTGCTACCAACTATATCCAACCCCACATTTCCCATCACAACAACACCGACCACCCATTTGAACCGCAGCTGACCATCACCGCAGGAATCCCGACCCCTCTCTCCGCCCCAAGGCAACGAAGTCCAAGTCGCCGTGCGCGCCACCGGCCTCTGCGGCTCCGACCTCCACTACTACACCCACGGGCGCAATGGCGACTTCGTTGTGCGGGCGCCCATGTGCCTGGGCCACGAGTCCTCGGGCGTGGTGACGGCGATCGGGCCCGAGGTGACCAGCCACCAGGTCGGCGACCGCGTCGCGATGGAGGTCGGCCTGCCGTGCCGCCAATGCGCGCTCTGCCGCCAGGGCCGCTACAACATCTGCCTCAACATGCAGTTCCGCAGCAGCGCCAAGGTCTTCCCGCACCTGGACGGCACGCTGATGGAGCTGACCAACCACCCGGCAGACATGTGCCACAAGCTGCCGGAGAGCGTCTCGTACGCCGGAGGCGCGCTGGTCGAGCCCCTGGCCGTGTGCCTGCACGCGATTCGGCGGTCGCGGCCCCCGACGCGGGACGAGGTTGCGCTCGCGCAGTCGGTCGGCGAGAAGACCCCGGCGCTGATCTTCGGCGCGGGGGCCATCGGCCTCCTGCTGGCCGCCGCGCTGGCCGTCTCCGAGAACTTCTCCTCCATCCTGGTCGCCGATATCGATGCCTCGCGGCTGGCCATCGCCGAGTCGCTGGGCCTGGGGCTGAAGACCGCCCTGATCCCCAAGGCCGATCCCGCCAGCTCGCCGCCGCCGCCCCCCAAGGACGCGCCGCACGCCGAGCAGACGACGTATGCCCTGCAGAACGCGCAGCGGGTGGCCGCGGCGCTGAAGGAGGCGGACGGTGCGACGTCGGGATTCGCCCGCGTGTATGACTGCACGGGCGTGCCGGCCTGCGTGCAGGCCGGCATCTATGCTGCGGCTTCCGGTGCGGTGCTGGTGCAGATCGGGATGGGGAACCCCATCCAGACCCTGCCGGTGGGCGCGGCCGCCCTGCGCGAGGTCGATATCATCGGGGTCTTCCGGTATGACGGCTATGCGTACCCCGCTGCTATCGCGCTGATGGCTAGCGGGAAGTTTGACACCGTGGAGCAGCAGGTTGTGACGCACCGGGTCAAGCTTGCGGATGGGGATCGGGCCTTCTCGCTGGCGGGTAAGGGTGTCGATGAAGAGGGTAAGCCTGTCGTTAAGGTCGTTATCGAGAGCTGAGCGGGCATGTTTCTTTCCTGTTTGATTTGTTGTATGTTCTATTATGATTATACCCGGGAGATGGTGGGGCATGAAAAATTTATGATGCGGCGAGCGATTATGGTGTTACGATGCATGGTGGTGTAAATGTTTGCATGGAGATAGAGATTATCATAGCTGTCAATCAGTTTGGGATTACCCAGGTGAAGATAGAATGAACCAGAATGATTTGACATTTTCGACCGACTCAAGATGTCGTGGATTCGTATTACTGCCCAAATGCCTAAATCGCTAAGGCTGAATACCATCAAAGCACAACGAAGTGGAGAAGAAAAGGCAAGTGACACGGTCGTGACCGTGTTGAGGCCTTGTTTACTGCCTGAGGCGGGAATGACAGGCAGCAGATCGTCAAGTCTATACGCGGCTGGGTTTCCATAAGGAGATCTGGGTTCAAATCCTGTTCCCGGCAGTCTCGCGCCCCCCCCCCCTCCCCCCCTTTTCGAGGGATTTGTGTCATTGACGTGATATGGGAAGGAGGGATGCGGAATGCGTTGGCGTGACGAATGGGCTGCCTCAAATCACAAGCCCACATAGGCTGTGTACAGTCGTGTGACGTTTCGAGGCTAGCGATCCCCATCGAGGATCTCCCCAGAACGGCACACTTCGAGTAGGTTGTCTCGTGCTCTCTTCACCACATGCCAGTGGTAACAGTGATACCCGATTTGCGTCTTCCACCATCTGATTTGCCAAGCCCTTACGTTCTACCTGTCGCAGCAATTGAGTGGTCATCTTACGCCCTGGTCACCAGTCCGCAATGCTGGTCCCCCAAGAGCACTCGCGAAGGCCCCTGAGAATGCTCTCGCATCTAGCCCTGGGCATATCCCCTCTACTACACTCGTACCGCCCTCGTCGATACAGCACTGCCAGAGATCTGCATCGACCGACCGAGGATCCCGTTATTAGTTCAACCTCAATGTAAGCCCGATAAGTGTAGCATAGGCCCCGATACTCAAGGCCGTGAGGATCAACACCGCATTCCCACTGGTCCGAAATTTGTGCCGGTTGATCCCATCCTCGCCGAGCTCCGAAAAGAACTGCTTGTTGCCCTGCTGGCGGCGGTAGAGGCCGATCATGAGCACGCCGGTGCCGTAAATGGCGAACAACGCGCCCGTGCTGTAGAACTCGCTGGTGAAGATCTTCAGGACGACGAGGGCGAAGGAGAACTGCGAGAGGGCGGTGCGGACGTAGGCGCCTTCAAAGGTGCGCTGGGCGGCGCGGACTTCCACGATCTCGTCGGAGGTAAGTGCCACCGTGCGGGCACGGTGCATTCGCAGGCGGTAGCGATCTGCGGCGCGACGCTGTGAGTAGTCCTTGGAATCAGCATGCGACCAGCAACTTGTCATCGAGGACGAGGATTGAGAGGCCCGGGTTAGTTCTTTGGCGCACCTCAAACATTGCGACGCGTCATACAGGTGGTGTCTGATGTGGTTCGTCGATGGAGCAGGGTGAGGCACGGATAAGAGTGAGTTGTGCCAGCAACAGCTTCCCGACGTCAGAGTCGTCTCTTGTTGTTGGCAGACCGACTTTCTCAAGGGAATTTTAAACGCATTCTCTTTTGAACTGGAAAGAGTGTCAGCTGGTTGACCGCTGAGTTTCTTTTTCTCTTGTTGCCGCTCACGTGGACCTGCTGCAGCTGGAAGTGGCTTAGTTTGGAAGACGCGATATTGCATCAGACCATCTTTAGCTGACAGTGTTGGAGATATTTGGCGAGTCTCGGGATGCCACACAGTTTTTGCAGAACATAGCTCAAGCTGGTATAGAGATTTTTGACAAGTTACATCGGTAAGTAGCCCTGTTGGAGTTGTGTAAGTCAGAGGAAGGACTGCACTGCAGTAACAAAGTGCAGTGAACCTTGAAGGGAGTGGGAAGCGATGATATCAGCCCGCGGCCTACCGGGTTTCTCCACCAATGACGACCCTCCCTTCTCTAATCCTCAACGCCAGAACCCGTCGGCTATCGAGATTACCCAACTCGGTCAGAGAGCCACCGCCTCCCCCATCTTTTGAACCTTAGAACGCTTATCAGCCCGCTGCTATCGGTCTTCAATGAGCCGATTAACCGTACTTCCATCTTCCTGCTCGGTTACTAAAATGGGGGTCTGGACATTGCATTCATCCATCCATTGCTTGGCCTGCAACTGCATGTCGGTCCGACTCTCACTCCTTGCCTTGGCTACGCTGCCTTTTCTCCTCACTTCTCCTCTTCTTCTGCTTCCTCCTCTCTTTCCTTCTCCGCATTCTGCTCATTTCATTGTCTCTCATTCTCAATCCGATAGCTGAGCTCTGCGATCCGTCAAGATGAGCAAGATATTCGATGCGGCGGAAGGTATGTTGGATAGCGACTAGCAACTCACCACGATACACTCCATCGTGCTTCACATGAGCAATAGTTCAATGAAGGCTAACGTCCCTTTAGTCGCAAAACACAACACCGCAGAGAGCTGCTGGGTGATCCTCTACGGAAAGGTTTACGATGTATGAGCAGCCCCAATTGTCCTAGTCAAGGCTCATGGTTCAAAAAATTGACTTTATTTGCGAAAGGTCACCAACTTTCTATCTGATCACCCTGGCGGTGCCAAGATCATCCTCAAGCTCGCAGGCAAAGACGCCACTGAAGAATACGACCCAATCCATCCTCCAGGGCTTCTGGAGGAGAACCTCAAGCCCGAAAACTTCCTGGGGACTATCAACGCAGACACCCTACCCAAAGTACAAGCAGAGCCGGCACCAGCAGCCGCAGAGACAGAAGGGCCGCCACCAATGGAGTCCCTCCTGAACATGGACGATTTCGAACAAGTCGCCACAAAAAACATCAGCAAAAAGGCCTGGGCCTATTACTATTCCGCCTCAGATGACAAAGTCACCAAACACTTTAACACAGAAGTATACCGGTCAATCCTTCTGCGCCCCCGCGTATTTGTGGACTGCACGAAGTGTGACCTGGATACGAAGCTACTGGGCCACAACCTGGGGATGCCGATCTATGT